TCGGTTACGGTGGTGAGCTTTTCCGAACTGTCCGGTTGACTTGCAGCAAAGACGACCCGAATCGTCTTGTGCAAGTATATCTTCCGCGAAGCAGTCTGCAAAGGTCCAGCTGCGGCTGGATGACGCCCTGCAGGCAGGTTGCCCACAGCGCCAGTGGAATGCCTGGATGTCCGCTGTGGATGTTGTGGGTGACTGTCTAAATCGGAGCGGCGTGCTCGAGGTTGCGGCGTAGGAGGGCAACAGAATTGCAAGTGGATTGCATAGCGGAGGGTGTCACGGTGCGCATTGCGCAGGTCAGCGGGCGACCTGGGCGGAAGCTTTGGCGAAGCAGTAGTCGTCTTTGAGTTGGCATCTGTGGCACCAGCTGTGGCGACGTGGCTCTTTTGTCTGACAAAAGTCTTGGTGCCTGGCGGCATTTCTGTCAAGTCGTAAGGCACCAAGAACAGTTTGACGGCAGTCAGGTTTGGATTCTTGATGACGAGCTGAATCTGCCCTTTCGGTGGGACCCGATACCCAGGAAACAGAGCCGGCTTAGCACTCGTGCCGCCAAAAATGTCTTCCTCGACATGAGAACGCTTGAGCTGAGCTGTCCCCTCCCTATATGGGTGAGACGAGCGGTCTGTCAGGCCAGAGCTTTGGGTTGCTCTCGAGCTCGGCGGGCCATCCTCAGCAGACTCTGCGCGTGGCGCGCCATAGAGTCTGTCCAGATAGTGACGCTCCAGGTCGACGGTGCCAACATACGGTGTACCAGTGGCAACTGTGCCCTCCCTTGCTGAAGTGCCATCCAGCGCATAAAAGTGTGCATCGAAACGGAGCTGTAGGTGGGGTGGACACCTGGGCGCCGAGTCTAGCTTGCCCAGGCCAAGCACCCCGAGCTCAGCATCGAACGGCAGAGGTCGAGAGGGGTTGGTGGACATCCGGCCGCTCAGCAGAGACTCTTCATAGCTGCCCACCAAGCTGCTGCTAAGCGTTGCGGTAGGACTTGGACCGCCTGGGGCAGAAACGCGGCGGCGTGGAGAGCCAAGCCCTGCTCTTGGGGAGACTGGACTACCTGGCGAGCCAGGAGTTGTCCTGCTCCATGGCGGTGGGCTCGAAGATGTGGGCAGTCCCAACATTGCACTCGTAGAGCTTGATTTGAGTGCTCTTCGTCGAGCCATGTCCAGCTCCTGTCCGCCCAACTGCGACCCTTTCACAGCCTGCAGTTGCTGACCTTCAGGCTGGGAGACTACCCTCCGGTACGACCTCCCATACGAAGTCGAAGCTTCCGACGCATCTTCGAGATAGCATTCGGGTGGCGTGCTAGCTGTCAATGGTACGTGGCCGTTGGTGAGCCCAGTGTCGCCCCGAAGGGCCGAGCGGCTCAAGGGGCTGCTTGGAAAAGCAGCTTCAGAACGAAACAATTGGTCATCAGCACTAGCCCGCAAGTCTTCGCACAGAGTACTAAACATGAGCACTTACAATTCCAGGTCATAATGTAGATACCGCTGGCAACATTCAGCTACCTTTTGCCGTCGTTATACCAGAGCTCGCATTCATGGTGAAAGCAAGAGTGTAGGGAAGCGAGAGCGCTCTTGGTACCCGTCACTATAGGGGAATCGAGGAGAGCTGATCTGAGGTGTTCTTCTCTGCGTTATGCTGGTAGATTGCAGCAATGC